TTCCTTCCACAGTAAGTCCCCAGCAGAGGGCTGTCCGACAAACCTCCATCCCGCACCTAAGATCAAAAATGTCAGTAGTCTCTTCCATAATCTTTATCTGACGATGATGTTTATTTCAGGGTCAACTACGTTTAAGATCACCTGTTATACTGTCGTTATAATTATATAAGCAATAATTTGATACAATCAAATAATATTAGTCAATATTATTCAAAATAATAATACATTTATCAAATATTAGCCCAAAATCGAATGCGATCATCCATGATTCGCCGGAATAGTTTGAACTTCCATAATAGAAAGTTCTAAAATTAACTTCATTTTTCGTCAATTGTACGCTTTACATACCGCGTTCAATATACTATACCCGAATTTTGGACCATTAACGCATATTTTCAGGTTATCTACGTTCAATGGTCACAGAATGTTCTATTCTACCACGGTAACCTTATGCTCAGAATAAATGTTCAGAAAGTGATCAATGCATTTCCAGGTAACCGTATGTTCTATGGGAAATCGTGTGTTACTAAGCATAACTGTATGCAGCGAAAACCATGCGCTATGCTCCGCATCTGCGTTAGGAAAAACTTTGGACAATCTACCATGGCCCATCAGGTTTAATGTCCTCAAGATATTTTACCATTTCTTTTACTTGAGTACCATTTCTCCCATCTTGGTAGGTATGATGCCAATTTGTGATTGACTGCCAATATTTGGGATATTATCAAGTGGCCTGACAATGGGCACAATATATTTGGTATAAATAAATAGTAAACCGAATGGTCAAACCTCATTATCATTCCTTATTGTTTCTGACCTTGTCCAAATTACCGTACTGATTAAACAACAGGACTGCAGGATGTGACTAGAGACACGTCAAGTTTTATGAACGGCGTCGCAGGATGCGCCTAGAGCATCGATCATGTCTTATGAACGGCATCGCACGGTGGTCAAAGAGCAATTCATCAAACTGCTATAAGGGCATCTAGAGATTGATACACTTAATACTTTACCTTCTGCATATTTAAGTAGTTCATTTCACATAAATTGAAGAGAGAAATATTCAAAAGGTACGTACATAATCACCTCTTTGATCTGTTCAAGTCTGGAAATCAGAAATAAAAGTTTAGGCAGCACCTTTTTAGCCACCACGAAGAAAAACGTGGTAGAAAAGCCGTCTTGCTGCTTCAGAATGCACAAAAGAAATAACAATAACATACTTCACCACATTACTAGACTGAAGGACCCTAGCAACATACCTCAACGTAGTCGAAGAGACAGCGGCTCGCCCAGCGCGAGTCCTCGACGTCGAAGCTCGTAAAGTTCAAGACGACCGCCTTACCCGCGGGCTGCTGGATGACATAGAAACATTCGCGGTTGTGAGGGTACGGCAGGGGGAAGTAAGGTGACCGGATGGTGCCCGTGGGACTAAGGAAGGTACCTCCGCACGCTGATGGTAAAATAAAATTAATGAACGTTGATTAGGGAATGTCAAGGTGGTGACTCTTGGGTTCAAGGCGGTTCCTCCGCACACACAGAGAGAATAAAAATTGAAGGCTTTGGACAATGTTAGTGTTAGAATGGTGGAACTCGAAATTGAAAATGTACCTATGCACGTACAGATTACAAATGAAATTAATAAAAAATTATTTTTCCTGGTATTGATATGATTTTTTCCTGGTATTGATACTCACCTACTTGGTACCTTGCCGTGAAGCCTGAACGCGAGACGGAACTATCCGTCTTGAACTTAACGAAAAGTTCGTTGCTCGAAGACATAAAATTTGGGGGGGCATTCCTTCCACAGTAAGTCCCCAGCAGAGGGCTGTCCGACGAACCTCCATCCCGCACCTAAGATCAAGAATATCAGTAGTCTCTTCCATAATCTTTATCTGACGATGATGTTTATTTCAGGGTCAACTACGTTTAAGATCACCTGTTATACTGTCGTTATAATTATATATTTATTTTGGCTGTTGGGGCACGTAGCAAGATTACTTATTACTAACGTTTACATGTCCTGCATGGGGCCATACTTTCAAAATCCGCTAAGAGGACGTAAGTACTTACGCTCTATTTTCTTGTCTATGATTGGTGGATTTTGCTTGAAAGGCCGCCAATGATTGGCTGATGAACTTACGATCTCTTAACTTTTTTGGAAAGTATAGGCCCTGATTACATGAATATTTCAGCACAAACTGAATGGCAATCAATTGTTGAGTAGGCCGACCTTTCCGCATTCACAAAATAATTGCTTACAGTTCCATGACCGTTCAATGGAATATTTTAATGAAAAATATTGTCTCATTTTAATATTATAACATCATCATCATCATTATCAGATTGTTGAAGATCATATCTTCGCCTGTCTACATAACTTTGGGCGCAAGATCAATGTGCCAACCTCGATATAGTCATAGGCGCAGTTGGGTCCCGCCTCGAGTTCAATATCAATGAGATGGAAGACGACTCGAGAGCCTTCGCTGACTCTGATGTCCCAGTAGCAGACGGCGCGATGGTGATATGGTTCAGGGTAGCCAGGACTGATGATCTCACCAGTCACTGATGTCATGATTCCTCCGCAGCCTGTGCATAACAGGAGTAAATCACACACATCTTAACAGCTTTATTTGAAAATGCATATAAGCATTCTCTTTGTTTCTAATCTAATTTTTGATCATTTATTCAAGCAATTTTATCTGTAACAAAACCATCTAAGAACGTATACATTAAAAACGCACAGGCCAAATTTTAGTACATTAACGACGTTACTCAGAACCCATGCACACGGGAGCATCTATACATATTTGTCCTTCTATTGCATTACAATAAAACAAAAGCATCTTTGTATATTAGTACTGCTGTTACATTACAATAAAAGAAATAACATCTTTGTATATTAGTACTGCTGTTACATTAAAATAAAACAAATTAGGACTATGTTCGAGACAAGTTCCTTATCTCGCCGACGGCCTTAATAAAATTTGGAATAATTTTATATTTGAAACCATAAAATTTTTATTTTACAGCATCGGCTCCCAAACCGTATTACGCATACCAAAGAGGAAAGGCGCACAATAAGTCGAGCACTTACATATGGCACGCACACACTTTTAGGGGTCACAGGGGCCATACTTTCAAAACTGGCTAAGTGAACGTAAGTATTTACGCTCTATTTTCATGTCTATAATTGGTGGATTTTGCTCGACAGGCCGTCAATGATTGGCTGATGAACTTACGATCTCTTAACTTGTTTTGAAAGTATGGGCTCTGAGCGATATTTAGCTGGGTATTTTTTGCATCACAAATTCTCTACTACTTAATACCAGACAATCTGAAAAAGATCTACTGCAGTTACCACACGCCATCCACCAGCCATCGGCTCACCGTTAATCTCGAACATTTAACTTCCTCAATTAACTAATTAGAAGTGCATTTGATGATATTTGGTGGTGTGGTTCCCATGGGAAAAATAAAAAAAATGAGGCATAGAATGACCATGAAGAGGTAGTTGAAATGGAAAAAAACAGTCGGACATGAAAATAGGTGCGTACAGAAGCTGGAGGGGATCATTTGCTTCAGCAAGGTGGAGAGTCTGGGTGAGCGTTGAGGTAAGGCATGCTGAGTTTGCAAATTCATGAAGAATATACTGACTTAAACAGTGGCTGTGAACATACGGCACTATATGGCTTCTAAGCCGTTTTGGAACTGGTGTGCCATGCGATGTTTCCGGAGTAGTCTGTGATTTCGTAGCTCTGAGACTGAGGGTAGCTGTGCATGTTTAGGCTGAGCTTTCGCTCCACGCCTATATAGTTAAATTTGTGGTCAAGGGCTGCCCTCCCTTGAATAGCCGGTGTTGCCTTGCTATTGCGGGATTTTCGGCTGTAGTGACTATGAGATTATAGAAGAACTCTGGCTCATATGTTATAATGGTGGACCATGTTTTGCGCAATTATTAGTGAATGACTGAATCTATGGCGAGGATGTCACATTTTTTATGTTTTAATACATAAAGTCGGACCAGAGTCTGCTTGTGATTAATCTTGGTGATTTCTTTTGGACTTTCTGCAGTTTTGATATGGATGCTCTGGATGGGATGTGCAAAGGTATCAGGGGGTAAATAGGAGTTGATCTGAAGAATGCGAGTTACAGGGTGTGTTGGGGGGAGGTGGTATAATCTTTCTATCTCGAGAAGGTTTGTGACGGTTATCGCTTACCTGGTTGTTATCTGGGACCCGAAAGCGTTTACTGCAAAAATTAAGCCTACGTCTGTTCCTTTGTTCATCTGTGGGTCGCGGATATTGCCTTTGAAAATCTCAGGTTTGAATCTCCTGATGACGGGAATTCATTTGATAAAATAACTTGCTTCTAATGCTTTATATTGGCAGCTAATATGAAGTAATAGATATAAAATGTATTATATATAGTACGGGACCCATAATTGATACTCAATCCCACTATGCTTTGGAAACACTGTCTACCAAAGATCTGGCCAAGAGAATCCCGCCATTTGTCCGGGATTCTAGTATTTCCACTAGTATTTATATATGGATTCTTAACACTAACCAGTGGAAGCCGCGTCCCACGAAGCCCTGAAGCCGGTGCCGGAGTAGTACTGGTTGCTGACCATCTTTAAGAAGAGGTGTTGTGAGTGCGACACAATCTCCGGCACTGTTATGTTCACCCCACACAGCTTCGAGATGAGAGGCGATGTGGCATACGCTCCATTCCTGCGATTTCATTTCACTCACACTTTTCTAAATAACTGATTGCTTCAGATCGTATATAAAATCTGGTTGCTTCAGATCTTCAGATAAGTTATTTGTATATATATGACGCTTGTTCCCTCAAACATCTCATGGATCATAATAATAATATAATAATAATAGCGGTTTCAGCGTTATTAGGCCGTAGGCCTGTCGCCAATTGTTAACATCGCAGAACATTCACAGCATTTTGCGGGCTCGAACTCGCAACTCACTGCTACAATTCCGCTGATCTTAACCGCCCGGCCTCCTTGCCCATTCTGACCAGAAACCGGCGCACAAAGCTGGGATCGAACCCGCGCCTCTATGCTCTAATCTTGGTACTCTGAACTGTAACCACTGGGCCACCCTGCCATCAAATCATCACTTATAAATTTCAGATGGCACTTCTACCTCCAACGTAAACCTGCACCTTAATTCTAACTTAAGTCTGTGCCTCCCGTTGATAAATTATACATGTATATTGTATACGGTCACACCGAAATTTGACATATACAGTGACGACCGTTATCAATACTCTGCGTATCTGAAGTTCTAGTAATGAGAATTACTGAAGAGAAAAAAAATTGTCACCTGATTTCAACGTAGTCATCCGTACAGTCCCTGCTAAAGCCCACATCGAAAGCTTCGAAGGTGAGCGCCACCTGGCGGTTAGCTGGGGCAGTGATGGTCCAGACGCAGGAGCGAGAGGGAGGGTAGCGTCCAGGGTATCTGGGGGAGCTTATTGTGCCCACCTCAGTGTGATAGTGCCCTCCGCACACTGAACGGTGAATACACGAACAAAAAATAGTCAGAATGTTCATACTGAAAATTTGCGCGGACTTAATTCTGCGACGATCGTAAATCTAGGCTTAGCATCTGACATTGGATGGAAGGTTTCTTCCAAATCCGCAATTGAAATTAACCCAGGAACCAATTTCGTAAAAGCGTCTGAATTCATTTTATATATGGCAACTCAATTAGGCTAGGGCGTCGAAAGGATTCTAAAATTGACTGCCAAATTCATTGTTATCGTCATTTAAACTATAATTAAAAAAACACACGCTAAGTAATTTCACCATTTCCCCATCGAAAAAATTTTGAAGACCACCTCCATCATCAGTCAGAAAATACAAATGAAATCAACAGAAATAAGTAATTGGGCCCATTCGTATCTGGTTTATGAATACAGTTGTGCGCGGTGCGCATCAGCCTACGTCGGAATGACGCCACGTTATTTCTACAACAGAGATGCCGAACGCCGCGGCAGGAGTTAGCGTTCATAAATTCCGCTAACTTAACCCCCCCCCTCCCAATTCTACTGTGCACCTTCACGCTTGTAATGGAGAGTGTGTTTATATTTTGGGCCCCACCTCTGCATGGTTCTACGTATTTAAAGATTTTTGGATCGAAACCTATTTTTAAACGGAAATGCTATGTCAAAAGGCTCACAGTTATCATCCGCTTGAAGTTTTTAATCGACGTTTCTTTATGTTTCTTACCAGTTTCCAATGAAGATTTAATAAATTTATTTAGCATTTACTTTGCTCTCAAATTTTTGGTTAACTTTCGATTTAAGCAGACAATATATACATGAACTTTTATTTAAATGCATTTCTGAATAACGCAATTCAGTGCTGTAGATGATACAGCGAGGAGGACTGGAATAATGAGCATCATTATGAGGTTAAAATGCAATTAGAGAACTTACCTAAATTAAACAAATATTGAAGTTGATTTATATTTTTTTAGTATGAACCTAAAAATAAAATACCAGTTCTAATTAGCATAAACCGTAAATTGAAATGGCTGCATTCACAATGAACAAAGCATATTCCATATCAAGTTACAAGAAGCAAGTTTCAATGCTTCTTTTAACTTGAAAATGAATGTTTGTTGCATTCGAAACGTCGTTAATAAACAAAAATTACTTCCTGAAACTGGCCGTTCAATCTACCGTCTTCTGAAGAAAAGTTGCACTCCATGATAATATTAATCAACGAATTCTCTGGTCATCAATCGCACGTGTAGCTATAAGCAAGTAAATTCTGCCATCTAATAAACGTGTTTTATGTAATTGTGCTGCATTTTCTACATTTACATATAAATGTTCTGAATTTAGTACATTTACTTGTAATTGTGCTGCATTTAGTACATTTACTTGTAATTGATCTGCATTTAGTACATTTACATGTAATTGTGCTGCATTTAGCACATATACATGTAGTTGTGCTGCATTTATTACGTTTACATGTAGTTCTGATGCATTTAAAACATTTATTTGCAGTTGTGCTGCATTCATTACATTTGCATGTAATTCTGCTGCATTTAATACATTTAATTAGCATAAACCGTAAATTGAAATGGCTGCATTCACAATGAACAAAGCTTATTTCATTTCAAGTTAGAAGAACAAAGTTTCAAAGCTTCTTCTAACTTGAAAATGAATGTTTGTTGCATTCGAAACGTCGTTAATATGCAAAAACGACTTCCTGAAACTTACCATTTAATCTACCGTCATCTAAAGAAAAGTTTCACTCCCTGATAATATAAATCAACGAATTTTCTGGTCATCAATCGCACGTGTGTAAATAAGTAAATTCTGCCATCTAATACTAGTTTTATGTAATTGTGCTGCATTTTGTACATTTACATATAAATGTTCAAAATTTAGCAAATTTACTTGTAGTTGTAATGCATTTAGTACATTTGCATGTAATTGTGCTGCATTTAGCACATTTACCTGTAATTGTGCTGCATTTACTGTAGTACATTTACTTGTAGTTGTGTTGCAGTTAGTACATTTGCATATAATTTTACTGCATTTAGTACATTTACATGTAATTGGGCTGCATTTAGCACATTTACATGTAGTTGTGCTGCATTTATTACATTTACATGTAATTGTGCTGCATTTAATACATTTATTTGTAATTGTGCTGCATTTAGTACATTTCCTTGCAGTTGTACGGCATTTATTACATACACTGGGAAGCGTTGAGGGCGTGGAAGATGGCGGAGAAGCCGTCGTGGTGGAGGGAAGAGTCTGAGTGGAAGTGCACGGTCAGGATCTCGCCTTGTGACGTCATCGTGGGGGGCGGGCTGGTCCCGCAGTAGCGTAGGGGGTTGCTGCCGGGAAGACAATGGACTTTTAAACTTTAATTTATTGTATAAACTGCCTGAGTTATATTTAGCGGGAATTTTGTTTGACGGAGAGAAACAAATTAATGGTCTTTTAAACTTGAATTTATTTTATAAACTGCCAGAGTTATATTTAGCAGGAATTTTGTTTGACGGAGAGAAACAAATTAATGGTCTTTTAAACTTAAATTTATTTTNATAAAATAAGTTACTAGATCACCTCTGCCTGCCTGTAGCAGTTTACCACATAAAATAAGTTACTAGATCACCTCTGCCTGCCTGTAGCAGTTTACCACATAAAATAAGTTACTAGATCACCTCTGCCTGCCTGTAGCAGTTTACCACATAAAATAAGTTACTAGATCACCTTTGCCTGCCTGTAGCAGTTTACCACATAAAATAAGTTACTAGATCACCTTTGCCTGCCTGTAGCAGTTTACTGCATAAAATACAATACTGCATCACCTCTGCCTGTCGGCAGCAGTTTACCTCATGAAATAAGTTACTAGATCACCTTTGCCTGCCGGCTGCTGTAGACAAAGCAATCGAAGAGTTGTCAAAGATCTCGACGTAATCGTATGCGCAGGACGGATGGTTCTCGAGGGCAAATAGCTGCCAAGTTAGCTGAATGACAAAGCCAGGCGGAGCTTCAATAATCCACCTGCAGTCACTGTTACCGGGGTAGGTGCCCGGGCTGTTGGGAGAGGATAACGTGCCCGACTGGCCCTTCAAGATGCCCCCGCATCCTAAAAACGAAATTAGTTTTATAACAAAATGAAATATTCAGAGAAAATTTGTTTACAGGAATAACGCTTGTTCGTTATAGGTTATTCATACTAAAGGTTATGATTGACCAAATCTATAATTGATTTCGCTTGATGCACCGCTTTATTTCAATTAAAGTGTTCGATTTTATTCCAGACAAAATTATTGAGGCTGGAAAATGGCTCACGGATGTCGACGGTCCAGTAATCGGCCTGGAAGCCTCTGTTGGCAACGGACGCGTCTGTTTTGAATTTGAGCCACAAGAAGTTGAGGGACGAGGTGGTGAGGGGGGGAGTGGATGAGGGAGGTCCACAGTAGTGACCCAACAGAGGGAAACTGGCACTCGCTCCATCTCGTATCTGCAGAGGAGGAGAGCTCCAAATAAAATATATAAATAGATAACAATTTGGTTTTTATTGGTTTTTAACATGACATCAGAGAAGTACCAGGTCTCATTGACGATACATTGAAGAAGAATTTTTATAAATTTCATAATCACACTCTGGGTTATCTCAATCAAGATGGCGTCTGTATCGTGTCGGACCATTTCCTTCAAAACTTCAAGAGGTTGACGACAATGTTTGGGAACCTTTCCTGGTTGCCAATTTAAACAATGTTCCCTCGACAATGTTTGAGAAGGCTCGAAGGTAAAAAGTCACAAATTTGGTGAATAAGCCAGCCTCACCTCGTCACCATCTAAGGTTATCGAGCACTCAGGGGCAGCAAACTTCGATATTTGTAAGTCAGAGCTTTTGCTCTTGACATGATCTCTCTCATATAATTCATATAGTTCATAAATGGGATTGAGGAAACTAAAGCCTCAATTCTCTTAATGGGATTTATGCTCTGCGCCATCGATAGATTTGTTTTCTGGAGATTTTCAAAATATTTTGTAAATCAAGAATCTTCACCCGGTCTATCAAATTTGGCTCTTGTTAAGTCTGCCATGGCATTATATAATTTAAAAATTACAAATTTAACTAAATGTACATTGAAAAATTAATAATAGTTACTTGTTTTTGCTATATTGTACCCAATATTTGGTTGTGCATTGCTATGACGACATCTATGTATCAACTACAAATATGAACACCCGGTAATGAAATTAATTTTATTTACTTTATTAATGAAAAATATCAGTAATATTTCAAACAATTTCAACATTTCACCAGTTACAATATCAATTACGCCAGTGCCATAACATTGACTTATGATAGGGACTGTACTAGACAGCAGGACCCAAACAACGTACCTCATGCACAGTACTAGACTGAAGGACCCAATCAATATACCTCAACACGGTACTAGACTGAAGGACCCAAACAATATACCTCATTACTCACCTACTTGGTACCTTGCCGTGAAGCCTGAACGCGAGACGGAACTATCCGTCTTGAACTTAACAAAAAGTTCGTTGCTCGAAGACATAAAGTTTGGGGGGGCATTCCTTCCACAGTAAGTCCCCAGCAGAGGGCTGTCCGACAAACCTCCATCCCGCACCTAAGATCAAAAATGTCAGTAGTCTCTTCCATAATCTTTTTCTGACGATGATGTTTATTTCAGGGTCATCTACGTTTAAGATCACCTATGTTATACTGTTGTTATAATTATGTAAGCAATAATTTGGTACAGTCAAATAATATTAGCCAATATCATTCGAAATAATATTAAATTTATAAAATATTAGCCCAAATTCGAAAGCGATCATCCGTGTTTCGCCGGAATAGTTTGAACTTCTATAAGAAAAAGTTTTAAAATTAACTTCATTATTCGTTAATCATACGTTTTACATAACGCGTTCATTATACTATACTCGAATTTTTTTATCATTAACGCATGTTTCTGATGATCTATGTTCAATGGTCATAGAATGTTCTACTACGGTAACCTTGTGTTCCGTATAATCGTTCAGAAAGTAAGTTTTTTGTTTGAAGAGCTCTGTATAAGTATGTTTTATGGGAAATCATGTGTTACTCAGTAATAGTATATTACAATGATAGTACCTATGTGCAGCGAAAACCATGCGTGATGCTCTGCATCTGTGTAAGGAAAAACTTCGAAGAATTGGCCAACCATTATTATTATTCTATCTTGTCTTTGGCTTTGTCTAAATTACTGGTTAAACAACAGTACGGCAGGATGTGACTAGAGACACGACACGTCATATGAACAGCGCTGCACGGTGGTCAAAGAGAAATTCTTGAAACTGCTTTAAGGGCATCCAGAGATTGATGCACTTAATAGTTTACCTTCAGCATATTCAAAGAGTTCATTTCACATACATTGAAGAGAAAAATATTCTAAAGGTACATATTATACATAATCACTTCTTTGATAATTCAAGTCTGGGAATCAGAAATAAAAGTTTTAGTCAGGAAACCATTACTTTTTTAGCCACAAGGAAGAAAAACGTGGTAGCAAAGCCGTCTTGCTGCTTCAGAATGCACAAAAGAAATAACAATAGACACACACGTATAAATAATATAACACTTTATCACTCAGAGTTTCACATAGCAATTTCAAGCGGGCTTTTCAATACTGTCAAATAAGTAATGTTGCGTAATGTCTCGCTTAGTTGTGGTCGAAGTAGTGCCAAATAATGTCCCACATAAAGTATAGTTGGAATGTGCAATTAATTTGACATCAGTTGGAAGATCCTCACCGGAAATAACATTGTTATCGAAAATATCTAGCTTCGTACTGTGTGTCTCGCTGGACAACTTCTTGATGACGCTAGCCTCTTAGAGTCCATTTTATATTACAAATTCAAATTGTAAAAAAATTCTGTGAATGAAAACATCTCGTAACTTTAAACAACAAACAAAGCAGAGAGTCGTTTTTTTTTTCCTGTGGTGGTCGGCGATCTTCCAAAAAATTTTAATACTACAAGGAGATCCTTCCAAAAAAATCAAACTCATCAGGGTTGAAAAAAACACTTGGAAAATTAGTTCAAAAAACAAATAAGTTAAGCTTAGTAGTCGCGAATAGATTAACTTTTTGCTCAAACACGGAATGAAAGTTATGAATAATATAATGCATGATATTATCTTGTACATGGTTAAACATTGTCACATGCAAATATCATTGAAAATTTATTCTGCCCAAGTTACTTGCCTCAAAGTAATCAAAGTAACAACGATGTCCACCTCCCTCAAGGTGGAAGTCGGTGACGTTGAGTTGCACCGTCTCGGAGGGGTGCACACGGATCACCCACTCGCACAGCAGGTTGTGGTGGTAGCGGCCATCCATGCCGGGGGCGCTGAAAGTACCCATGTCACTGGTGAGGTAGCCGCCGCAACCTGGGTATACTAAGAAGTAAAAATATTCACTATTAGTTCTAGAATAGGAATGGCAGCAAGCATCGTACTCTAATAAGCTATTAAAGTTAGTTTTTATGTTTATTATTTGCCCATAATAAACAGTTGGTGCATAAATTGTGGCCACGCATGGATTGTCAAAATCGGTGAGACAAAAGTTTCACTAACATGAATAAAATGGATAATTTATTAGTTTGAATGAGGAAAAATACATTTTCGAAATCTGTGAGCCGTTATATCATTGCAGAGCATGAATGAATATGTTCGACTCTTTTCTTGGTTTCAAAGAGAAATTAGGTAGTTCGCTGATCTTTAACTGCTGTCACAAAACCACTCAATGCAGAGGTACAGCATATAAGATCGTTGCTGCGCTTGGAGCACTCACTAGACTCTGAACTGAATGATATATGGAATCCGGTGTCCGTTTGAGATCCGTCGGTGACGAAGTCGACCGCCGCTTCAGCGCCCGACGTGCGCAGCGGGGCCGGGCTGCTGGACGTACAGTATTGCTGCAGCACCGAACTCGAAGGTGACAGGCCATCGCGGATCTAAAGTGGAGAAGACAGCCAGTAAGAAATGAGTTTCACTCTCTTAAGGACTGTAATGAGAGTTTGGGACGAACGAGAATCTCTGTAGCTCAAAAAGAATTATACCTACCCAAGCAATCGATCAAACGCAATAGCTCCGCCAAAGCATAAAGTTGCAGGTGTGATCTTAACCAATATAAAGGTGCTCAAATTTGCAGTTCAGATGCTTCTCAATTGATTGGAGACCACTTGCAATTGATCTCAGCTGGTATCGTAATGCGTCAAAATAATTACGATTAAACCCACTTTCAGGGGTTGTGGCTAATTTGAGACGACTTTTAATGGAAATTACTGAAATTTAGTAAGTCCTATAGCAGCAGTTATAATACGTTCCAGTCGTTGTCAGTGAACCCGATTTCAGCCGGTGGACGAGAANTAATACGTTCCAGTCGTTGTCAGTGAACCCGATTTCAGCCGGTTGACGAGAAATTTGAGATATACGTCTCAATGGTAATTTAGCGATACATCTTCAGTCGGTCGTAGTGGTTGTATGGAAGCGTCTCAACGGTAATTTGACGAGCCATTTTCACTCGGTCGTAGCTGCAGTTGAGGTGCGCCTCACTGGTTAGTAGTGCACCCACCTCCAGTCGGTAGTAGCTGCAGTTGGGGTGCGTCTCAATGGTTAGTATTGCACCCACCTCCAGTCGGTCGTAGCTGCAGTTGGGGTGCGTCTCAATGGTTAGTAGGGCACACTGGAAGAGGAGGCGCTTGCCAGGCACCGTTACGATCTCAATGGCCAAGGTGGCAAAGTGGAAGAGGAGGCGCTTGCCAGGCACCGTTACGATGGTCCACGAGCAGTTGCGGTTGTTTGGGTAATTGCCAGGGTAGCNCGTTCTGCACAGGTGGGGCCGGTGAAGGCCTGAGGACAGGAGCAGGAGAAGGATATCCCAGCGCTGCTGCAGGTGCCGCCGTTGAGGCACGGCCGACTGCTGCAGGGGTCCGCGTTCGTCTCGCATCGAACACCTGGCGAATTTGGTTAACTTCTGCTTTAGTGATAAATCGTTTAACAGAATCAAGGACGAGCGTGTGTAAAAATGAACATAAGTGCTGAATTACGATATAAAAAGTATGATTTATCAAGCAATATATATTTTAAAAACCCAATGCAAAAAAATTATTTCCTAAGTGAATTAGAAACCATTGTCGGACCTTCAAGCCCTACCCATGGATCCACCCGAGCAGGGACACCCGCTGACGTTACTGTCGAATAAGGTGAGCCTATTTCTTTAATTAACTGTGGAATAAGGTAAGCCTTTTTCTTCAATTAACTGTGGAATAAGGTAAGCCTTTTTCTTTAATTAACTGTCAAATAAGGTAGACCTATTTCTTAAATTAACTGTCAAAAAAGGCAATCCAATTTCTTTAATGAACAGTCGAATAGGGTAGACCTATTTATTTAATGAACTGTCGAATAAGGTAGGCCTATTTCTTTAATGAACTGTCAAATAAGGTAGGCCTGTTTCTTTATTGAACTGTCGAATAAGGTAGGCCTATTTCTTTTATGAACTGTCAAATAAAGTAGGCCTATTTCTTTAATGAACTGTCGAATAAGGTAAGCCTATTTCTTTAATGTGTCGAATAAGGGAAACCAATTGCGTTAATTAATTATGAACTTATTTCTAGAAATGTCACTAGATGACTGCAAGGCTCTCCTAGCTTAGTCCTTCAAGTTGTTAAGGTAACAACAGACGCAAGATTGGAATATTGATGAGTGTCCCTACACAGTAGTAGTACTCGTGCAGCTGCACTGTACCAATGTACTGTACACCACTGTAGTAGTACTCTTGCAGCCGGACTGTACCTAAGTACTATATACCGCAGTAGTAGTACTTGTGCAGCTGGACTGTTCCAAAGTACTCAGCTACACTGTACCTAAGTACTGTACACCGCAGTAGTAGTACTTGTGCAGTGTGACGTTGATGGCTTTAGTGCTGGGCACTTGTATCCTCCAGGCGCAGCTGATGTTGTGGTCGTAAGTTTCGATGTGCGGACTTGGGTAGTGGACGATCCCTCCCATACCTGTGAGAACGCCGCCGCAACCTGCATATCAAAACAACAATTAAGTCTAAAAATTACAGTATGCGTCACAACCCACTTCGAAAATAACAGTATGCCTTCCAACACACTCGAAAATTACAGTATGCCTTACAACACACTCGAAATTCGAGAATTAGGAGAATGAAGAAAAAGAAAAGAAGCACAATAAGAAAATGTTGCTTCTTAAACATCGAATTCCTGGGTGAACTTAACGTGTTTTGAACTCATTTTTTAAAACTGGCAGCACGACACTGCGACCTAAATAAGTATGTGACGTTTGACTCATCATCATAACCATCATACATCGATTGGTAATCAATGATTTTGATATGATTCGTAGACAAATCTCCTTAAATATTATTTCGTAGGAGCCAATCGAAGTAAATTAAAAGGTCAAGAGAGAAATTGTCTTCTTCCGAAGCTAATCTTTAGTGTTTGTACGAAATTGACCCATAATGTTGACCATTTTTCGCGATGATTCCTATTGGCTATACATTCCAATACAACACAACATTCAATGTAAACAATATTCAATGCTTACACAATGTGAACGATGTTTAGTTTAGTGGCATTCTACACACATTACACATGCCACTTTAGTTCAGTGACATTCTACACACATTACACATGCCACTTTAGTTCAATGACATTCTGCACACATTACACATGCCACTTTAGTTTACTGGCATTCTACACCCGCTAAGTAGCACTTGATCAGGACCTAGTGTAGCCGGAGTGGACCTGGTACAACAAGGGACATACTTTGTGCCCGTTCTGCACAGGTGGGGCCGGTGAAGGCCTGAGGACAGGAGCAGGAGAAGGATATCCCAGCGCTGCTGCAGGTGCCGCCGTTGAGGCACGGCCGACTGCTGCAGGGGTCCGCGTTCGTCTCGCATCGAACACCTGGCGAATTTGGTTAACTTCTGCTTTAGTGATAAATCGTTTAACAGAATCAAGGACGAGCGTGTGTAAAAATGAACATAAGTGCTGAATTACGATATAAAAAGTATGATTGATGGAGCAATATGAATTTAAGAAGCTAATGCTCAAAAAATTTATTTTCTAAGTGAATTAGAAACCGTTGTCGGACCCTCAATCCCCACCCATGGATCCACCCTAGCAGGGACACCCACTGGCGTTACCGTCGAATAAGGTGAGCCCATTTCTTTATTGAATTGTCAACTTATTACTAGAAACGACAGTAGAAGACTGAAGAGCTCTCCTAGCTTAGCCTATTAAGTTGTTAAGGTAACATCAGAGGCAAGATTGGAATATTGATCCGTCACCCTACACATTTAGTAGTACCCGTGCAACAGGACTGTACCACAGTACTGTTCACCACAGCATTAGTACTAGTGCAGCTGGACTGTACCAAGGTACTGTACGTCACCAGGGATTATTCTCAGGTCAGTGCGTAACAGATCAACAGATCAATAAGTTTTTGTGATGGAGTATTTTTGCTAGAATTTACGGTACCTCTGTACTAACCCAAATTTATCTGCATCCGATATTCCCATAGCTTATTTTTTTGTTACCAAGCTCTATGCCGTCTGAAGCTCTATTCCTTTATTAATATTGACATATTTTTTGTACGCGCATTATATGCCTGCGCTCACAGAAGCGTTTGCTTTGTGGCAATCAAAAAAACATCAATCATACAAGTGATACAACCAATTTTTTGGCGGTGCCGAGATACTTCTACAGAGAAGGTACATATACTAGATATATCGCCAGCTTTGCCTCAATGTCCAAACGCCTTCATCAGCAGACCTTCATTTGCTGATAAAGTGAAACCTGAAAACTAATTCCACTTGAAGACATTCGATTAATTAAAATACGATTCTTGGTTAAAAACCCCCAGAAAGATCCTCTAGCAGGCACTACCCCTCACCAGTCTAGCCCGGTGAGCAGTGGCACAAAAAGGCGTGCCACTAGCAGGCACTAGCCCTCACCAGTGTAGCCCGGGGAGCAGTGACATACAAAGACGTGCCACTAGTAGGCACTAGCCCTCACCAGTCTAGCCCGGTGAGCAGTGGCACAAAAAGGCGTGCCACTAGCAGGCACTAGCCCTCACCAGTGTAGCCCGATGGGCAGTGACACACAAAGGCGTGCCACTAGCAGGCACTAGCCCTCACCAGTGTAGCCCGGGGAGCAGTGACATACAAAGACGTGCCACTAGTAGGCACTAGCCCTCACCAGTGTAGCCCGGTGAGCAGTGGCACACAAAGACGTGCCACTAGCAGGCACTAGCCCTCACCAGTGTAGCCAGGTGAGCAGTGGCACACAAAGGCGTGCCACTAGCAGGCACTAGCCCTCACCAGTGTAGCCCGGTGAGCAGTGACACACAAAGGCGTGCCACTAGCTAGCAGGCACTAGCCCTCACCAGTGTAGCCCGGTGAGCAGTGGCACACAAAGGCGTTGCCGTTGGCAAGACAGGTGCCATGTACACAAGGGTTGTTGGCGCAGGGGTCAGTGGCACCTCCACCAGAGATGAGGGAGCACCCGAACGGTCCGATACCATTACCCGCATACCCGGGGGGACATGTGCACTGGTAGTAGTCGGGCAACATGTCTGTACGACAGCATGATTACTTAACACCTGGAAATGCATTGTAATTGCTCTTAATTATGTCTTGAAAACGGATTAACTTACATTAAATAATCATGACCAGATAATAATTTCTATGAAATAATATTAATCATTACGAGTCTACCTTGAATCTATAAGAAGTCATCTATGACCCAATCTTAATGCAATGACCTGACCGTTTATTTTTATGACATTATCTTCACAGCGACCATCTTGACTAAAATAGTCGTTAACTCTGGTACCTCACAGCCGAGAACCTCGTTTAATGAGGTTCTCATTTAATTGTGAACCTCATTTTATAGAGACATTCATTATTCTATGCGCCTGCTTTGCCGTTGAACAAATTAATTTCTCAACGTGTTGCCGTAAACTAGTCACTATTGTAACGACAATGGGAGAAGCAGAATAAGCGAATATAACTATTAATTTAAAATAAGGCAGACTTCGGAGAACCTTTATTTATCATGTCAATTGAGAAACATTAATTAGTTAGCAGTGCCAACAGTCATCGTACGCCTGACACTACATTACGCACGTCGTACGCCTGACACTACATTACGCACGTCGTACGCCTGACACTACATTACGCACGTCGTACGCCTGACACTACATTACGCACGCTGCAGAGCGTCGCTGCAGGAGGCGAGGTGGTGGCAGGGGCGCTGCAGGCACGGCCGGGGCCGCAGTGTGCACGTGTGGCCGTCGCCCTCGTACCCAGCAGGACACGTGCCGCAGCGATAGCCTCCCTACCTCGTGCCCGGGGAGAGAGGATGCACGTGAGTGTTGGGTGGTCAGGTGTGTTGGGTGGTCAGGATTGTTGGGTGGTCAGGGGTGTTAGGTGGTCAGGAGTGTTGGGTGGTCAGGAGTGTTGGGTGGTCAGGAGTGTTGGGTAGTCCACAAATACCAGTCGCAACGTCCACAAATGCTAGTCGTAATTCAACATGCACACCAGACTTCACCTTATTTGCACCGTAAGATGTTGCTGTGGTATGACTCTAATCATCTGCATGCAGGGATCTCCTACTTATCAGAACAATTAAGTATCATTATCGCAATACTGTCACTGATTACCAGTCAAGTTGTTGTCATTAAAAAAAAATAAATTCATCAATTACGAACACATTATCTATTCTTTGACACAAAAATAATGCGATGTTTGCCTTAATTTTTCCAGCGATCTAAAACCTTCTTCACTCACAGGCTCGTTGATGCACTGGACACGAGGGCTGAGCGAGCAGCCGCCGTTGAACACCTCGCACTCGTTCACGTCGGTGCATCTGAAGCCGTCGCCCGTGTATCCTATACGAGGCAATAATTTCATCTTCAGTTTATTAACAAAAATCCACATTCAATTTACTAACATGAATCTACATACAGATTCAGGCCAAAGACCGAGTGAAAGTATAAATGAAAACCGTAGCAATGTACACGAAAGCAACCAACGAGCACTAAACTTAACACCACACCTGCAGGACAGGGAGCGCTCGTGTAGGAGGCTACGTGCAGCTGAACTAAGTACCACACCTGCAGGACAGGGAGCGCACGTGTAGGAGGCTACGTGCAGCTGAACTAAGTACCACAGGGAGCGCACGTGTAGGAGGCTACGTGCAGCTGAACTAAGTACCGCACCTGCAGGACAGAGAGCGCACGTGTAGGAGGCTACGTGCAGCTGAACTAAGTACCGCACCTGCAGGACAGGGAGCGCACGTGTAGGAGGCTACGTGCTACTGAACTAAGTACCGCACCTGCAGGACAGGGAGCGCACGTGTAGGAGCCAGGCAAGTTTATGCACATGACGGCAGGGTTGGCCGAGCAGTGGTTCGTACGGCCGACAGCGCACTCGTCGACGTCCTGAGAGCAGGTGTTGCTGCCGGGCGCTTTCGTCCAGCCCTGCGCGAAGAAGGCTTGGACGGTTTAAAATAATACAGCCTGAGAAGTGCACACGTTTATAAGATTAATGAACAATTCTTGTAACAAATGAGAACTAGCATCTTAACTCGTTCAGCAGCGAATTTAGAAGGAACTGTTATAGCTGAAATTATATTTGATGAAATTCGACAGGCTCCTATTGTATTGAAAGGCTCCATTATATTATTAAATTACTGCCTTAGAGCCTTAGATTTACAGCTACTGCAGCTCCGGAGTAATTAAGGTATAAGATCTTAGCAGTTAAATTGACTACCACCCTCATCTAAATTAATGCACGTCTTCAGATAATCACAGCACAACCAAAATAACCTAAACGAGGCTGATGATTGCGACTGTAAAAGATTGACGGCATTATATGTTTTTGTCTACTAGTATTTCAGTGAAAATCAGAGCGTGAGAGCTACCAACGTAAACGATGGTAATGAGAAATCAACCTAATTGGTTTTTCATTGCAACGTTTTTGTGCCGTTGCGACAAACATTGGGCGATTTTGGCAGGCGAGCCGACGGCAAACACTGAATAAAATCCATCAAAAAATTTCTCATTAAAGATCGCGAAGTTTTGTGAGTGCCCAGACCATTCCCTTGCATGCCCCTCTAACCTGATGACACCTGCAAGTGTAACTGCGGCCCTCGGAAGGCTGAGGGTAACAGTCGCCGTGGTCGCAGAGGGTTGAGGCGCTGCCGGTTGTGCACGTGTCCTCTTTGAGGGTACAGTGGCTGCCGTACCAGCTGGGAGGGCAGGTGCAGCGGTATCCTCCATCAGTGTTCACACAAGTTCCTCCGTTCTGATAACCAAATGTTAAGATTTTAGAACTACTTAAATTGATAGAAATACAACTTTATTCCATATGAAAACGCGAGAGTTATTTGTAAGATGCGGAAGAAATGCTGTCGAGGGAATTGCGAACATACTTGGCTTAAACAATAATTTTTAGGAAATGTTTTTATCACAAATTCCACAACAAATAAAACTCGCAAGCACAAATTAATCATGAATATATAAAAGCGATTTTTGACTGCTGGCAAATTTCATACGAGTATGCAGTTCTGGTCTTAACGCAAGCATGTGCGTCCTGCAGAAAAGTTTAGTACGGAACAATCCAAAACATTTATCCGCTGTCAAGACTTGCCAATTCTATCACTAGGTGTTTATATGTTATGATGCCATTCAATGAGTGCATTGAAATATTTTTATAGAAATATCGTAATAATGCTGTCTAATAAAAAAATAATGGAATAAAACACCAATTTAAAAATACATTATTTAAATTCAAAAGTATTAACTATAATTTAAGTATGCATAATCTTCTTTCATCACATAGAGGAAAAATTCGCTACCAAGAAAACATTACTTGAATAAGAGATCATTTCCATGGGCCAATTTCTTCAGTGCCGGCACTTTATTCTATTATATTCTATCAGAAATTTACCAGACCTGGCACCCCAAGTCAGTGCCACTGAACTCCATGCACTCGTCGACGTCTGTGTCACAAGTGCTCCCTGTCCAGCCCGGACGGCAGAGACACTGGAAACCGTCGTACAGGTCGATGCAGGTGCCGCCCCTGGAACAAGGCAGGCTGTTGCACTCACGCTTCTCCAGGAGCTCTTGCATGGTCGTGAGTCGTCGGCGCAGCCACCGAATATTTCGCGTGTTCTGGTAATGGAATTTTACGTGCTTTTATTCGGCATTACTTTGCATAGCATCAGATTAAGATTCAATTTTGTGCGAGCAGAGCACTAAATTCCGCCCACTTGCTTATGCTAGTTTAGTAATGCAAATAATGAATTCTCTGGAAGAATATATTTACTGAATGAATGAGTATATAATACATAGAGCTGAATACATGAATAAATAAATGGTGAAAATTGTGGTAAATTATAGCAAAAATTGAGCAAAGCTTATATTTGCCATCCAAAGAAGTATTTTTATTTGATCCCTAACCAAAAATATCCACGAACCCCAAATATCCAAATTATTTGAAATGATTATCCTGCAGAACAATAAACATTAATACCCACCCTGGATGCTAAGCCTCCGTCGTCTCCACCGGAAGAGTTGCCGGCCGTGCCCCTGTAGAGCTCGAGGGCATCCAGGCGACTTGCCACGTTGCTGAGGTCGTTTATTCTGCCTTCAATACTCGCGACCCTCGCCTGCAGGCCGTTCATACTCAGCGCCACGTCATCCCAGCCACCACTCGTCATCTGTGACGTGTTTATCATTCTCAGAATAATCCAACATTCTTCAAAATTCTCGAAAAATTCCTAAGGTTTACTTAGACGATAAGAAGATCTTAAACTGTGTAATCTAGGATGTGTAATCTGGCAAAATCGTACAAGATGACGGGACGTTTTAACTGTAGGTAGGGACATATTCAAGTTCTACATGTTATGAAGAAATTTTCATTATTACAATAAGGAAATTGTGATTTTCCATCTTTGTTAGGTGATTGACGTTTGCAATTCTTTAAAAGTAATTTTAAATTATTTCCTTCGCACTTGCAGTAAACGCTACAGCGTTGAAGTCAACAAGGGCTCTCTTTCAGTTGTTATAATCAATCAACGGGGAATCATCCCTTCACCATGTCACCTAAGAAGTATACCAGCAATATCTGCTTATTATTTACGGTTCATGCATTAATCAGGATAATGTTTTATTGTAATGAGAATTAATTTCTGCACCTGCTCCGCGAGGGCGTCAATCCTGCGGGACATGTTCTGCACTCTGCTGGGCCCGTCGGGTCCGAGGACGCTCAGTGCGTCGCCGTATCTGCGAACATCTGCGCTCAGTCCCTGACGCCTAGTGCAATATAAGGAAGGTTAGGGACGCCTAGTACAACATAAGGAAGGTTAGGGGACGCCTAGTGCAATATAAGGAAGGTAAGGAGACGCCGAGTGCAATATAAGGAAGGTTAGGGGACGCCGAGTGCAAAAAAGGAAGGTTAGGGGACGCCTAGTGCATTTTAAGGAAGGTTACGGGACGCCTAGTGCAATATAAGGAAGGTTAGGGGACGCCGAGTGCAATATAAGGAAGGTTAGGAGACGCCTAGTGCAAAAAAGGAAGGTTAGGGGACGCCTAGTGCATTTTAAGGAAGGTTACGGGACGCCTAGTGCAATATAAGGAAGGTTAAGAGAGGCCTAGTGCAATATAAAGAAGGTTAAGGGAGGCCTAGTGCAATATAAGGAAGGTTAGGGGACGCCTAGTGCAATATAAGGAAGGTTAAGGGAGGCCTAGTGCAATATAAGGAAGGTTAAGGGAGGCCTAGTGCAATATAAGGAAGGTTAGGGGACGTCTAGTGCAATATAAGGAAGGTTAAGGGAGGCCTNATATGTAGGGTATGAGGCAGTTAAGCTGGCAGTTGAGCATGCATTTTGTTAAGACGCAGTTAAGCGGACGGTTGTGTGGGTGTAAAGTTTGCAGTTATTTTTGTGGCAGCATCTTTAGTTGCTTTGAAACTTGGGATAAGAAATGTGTTATTTTCTCTTAAATAATGAAGAGATGCAGTAATTTTTCTAGTTTTTATGGTAACGACTGATTTTCTTGTGCATTTCTTATACCTGGACTCGCTGCTTGATACTTGCATGCGCTTGAGCAAGAGTTTACGTTGCACACATAGCGCTGCAGTGCGCGCAGTTTACAAACACGACCAGCGAACTACAACTTGGGTGCTCACTGCTCACTCTCGAGGCGACATCGAGGCGGGACGCAAGTCAATACTGAAGGTCTCGCGAGATATGTGAGTGTTTGTGTAGAATGTTGATATTATTGTTTTAATTTAAGGTTTTTGAACAGAATCTGCTAGTAGGAGTCGTTGCTGTAAACTAGATGGTGTATAATAAAATAGGTTTAAGGTCCATAGTTGTGCATAAAACTACGAAGTGCAAATCATTTGAGTGATTTGAATGGTGAATAATCATGCCAGTGAACAATCATGCCGGTGAATAAGTATTTCACGAGCTATTACTATGTTTTGAAAATATTAAAACCCTCGTTCTGTCTTCCAGCGATATTTGCATAACGCTTAATCATCCTGTATGTGAAAACCGTTGTCGCTACGGTTTTCTCTACGTTGTTTACTGGTAACGAAAAACTGACGTTGTAAGAATACTCGTGAGCTTAGGTATATAGACCTTTATAGCAACTTTATTTTGCTCATAAGATGCCACCTCGATACCAGCTAATGTATGTTTCAAACATACATTAGCATACATTAGCTCAAAACTAGTGAAATACAACATTATACGAAAGATTTGCAACAACCTCGTGGTGTAAGATATGCGATTCAAAATATTCTCGAGCGATTCCAAGGATTCATGAACGATTTTCAAAATCAGTGAGCAACTCCTGAGTTTCAATAGTGACTTAAGTCTTAAGAACTGTGGCCGGTTTCATGATTGATTCCCAAACTTTTAGAGATTTTATTTCAGTTTTAAAGCGATACTGGTTTTCGTGAGCGATTCTCGAGATCTTTGAGCAAACTAGCTTTATTTATTTCCATAATGACGTAATCAAATGTAATTTCATAATGTAATTTCATAATGATTTATTACAGCTTTATTAAGGATTTTGCAAAAGTTTTAAAAATTTTAGATTATCCCTTTTTTGCCGTTTTCTATAAATTTCACGTTTTCTTTCATTTATTGCAAAAATTACACAATCGAAATGTTTTTATTTATACGTTTTACGTATATGTGTGAAATTTCAGGAAGGTCGGTTGATAAATGTAAAATGTATAAATATGAATGGAATGGCTTATTTTTTGAATGGGATCTGATTAAATAAAACTTTTAATGTCACCCTATTCTGATGCAAAAACATAAATTATTGTCCAAGGATGAATTCCGCATCGTCATGTTTTCTAAAAATAAAGGCATTTATAAACGATTATTGCAGTACTTTTCTTAATTATAACATACATGATGTTGTCCATTTTCAGGAAGCTTGTCAACTGTTGGAAATTCTCGAAACCGCATTTGCGAGCGGCGATGCAACTGGTGTTCTTAATGCTGGCTCTGCACTCTGTGTATTGGTGAGTCTGTAGGTAATGTTAGTGCTGGCTCTGCATTCCGTGTATTGGTAAGTCAGTAGATAATGTTAATGCTGGCTCTGCACTCTCTGTGTTGAATCTTGAATTGTTATGCAGGATCTACCCGACCTCAGTTCGCAATTCCGGTGTTCACAACAAGTTAAACTCTTCTGCTTTGATCTGACTCCAAAAGATCTTGTTATAATAATTAGTCAGTCGTCGAGGATACAAAACTGATTTACACTAATTATTTACTTTATTTCACTCAAAATTTCATTAATATCCTTATTGTATCTTCCAAAGATATTTGCATGACGTTTAATCATCCTATATATGAAAACCGTTATCGCTACGGTTTTCTTTACGTTGTTTACTGGTAACGAAAAAATTGATGTTGTAAGAATACTCTAGAGTAGGCAGTTAAGGTATATAGACTTTTATAACAGCTTAATTTTGCTCATCAGATGCCAACTCGCAGAGCTGTTGTATATTTCCTTAATTAAAATTAATTTCGCTTAAAATTAGTGAAATTTATCCGATATGAACCTCATGTTCAAAGATATGAGACTTAAAATATTTTCGAGCGATTCCGGGGATTGATGAACGATTTTCGAAATCCGCGAGCAACACTCGAGTTTCAATAATGACTCAAGTTTTAAGAACCGTTGCAAGTTTCATGGGCAATTCCCTAGTTTAAAAGAAAAAATCCAGTTTTAAGTGTTTCCAGGGTTTTCATGAGCGATACTCGAGAACTCTAAGCGAACCTCCAAGCTTCATGAATCCTCTACCGTCGTATGTCACTCTCCGTGAACATAACTTTCAACTTAAATTATACGTAAACTATTGAGTGTAGCAACATGAGGACTTTTGTACGCAGCAGTGAACATTTTAAAGTTGTCGTACGTGGCGGCAACCATCAGTGCAAGCCATTTTGCTCTCGCTAGAACGTATCCTTTTTGTGAAGTATGCTTGTGACAATATTGCTCCGGTTGCTCATGTCAGGCGGTAGAGGGTTAAGGATTGTTTAGCTCTCGAGTTTCATTGCCGTAAATCTTGGCAGCTGTAGGGTATGGTCATGATGGCAGCTGTAGGGTATGGTCAAAATGGCAGCTGTAGGTATGGTCATAATGGCAGCTGTAGAGTACGGTCATAAAGGCAGCTGTAGGTATGGTCATAATGACATATGTAGGGTATGAGGCAGTTAAGCTGGCAGTTGAGCATGCATTTTGTTAAGACGCAGTTAAGCGGACGGTTGTGTGGGTGTAAAGTTTGCAGTTATTTTTGTGGCAGCATCTTTAGTTGCTTTGAAACTTGGGATAAGAAATGTGTTATTTTCTCTTAAATAATGAAGAGATGCAGTAATTTTTCTAGTTTTTATGGTAACGACTGATTTTCTTGTGCATTTCTTATACCTGGACTCGCTGCTTGATACTTGCATGCGCTTGAGCAAGAGTTTACGTTGCACACATAGCGCTGCAGTGCGCGCAGTTTACAAACACGACCAGCGAACTACAACTCGGGTGCTCACTCTCGAGGCGACATCGAGGCGGGACGCAAGTCAATACTGAAGGTCTCGCGAGATATGTGAGTGTTTGTGTAGAATGTTGATATTATTGTTTTAATTTAAGGTTTTTGAACAGAATCTGCTAGTAGGAGTCGTTGCTGTAAACTAGATGGTGTATAATAAAATAGGTTTAAGGTCCATAGTTTTGCATAAAATTAAGAAGTGCAAATCATTTGTCTTATGAATTTAAACGCATGTGAATGGTGAATAATCATGACAGTGAGTAAAGATGCCAGTGAATAAGTATTTCACGAGGTATTAATATATTTTTAAAATATTAATATCCTTATTGTATCTTCCAAAGATATTTGCATGACGTTTAATCATCCTATATATGAAAACCGTTATCGCTACGGTTTTCTNTGTATTGGTGAGTCAGTAGGTAATGTTAATGCTGGCTCTGCACTCTGTGTATTGGTGAGTCAGTAGGTAATGTTAATGCTGGCTCTGCACTCTGTGTATTGGTGAGTCAGTAGGTAATGTTAATGCTGGCTCTGCACTCTGTGTATTGGTGAGTCAGTAGGTAATGTTAATGCTGGCTCTGCACTCTGTGTATTGGTGAGTCAGTAGGTAATGTTAATGCTGGCTCTGCACTCTGTGTATTGGTGAGTCAGTAGGTAATGTTAATGCTGGCTCTGCACTCTGTGTATTGGTGAGTCAGTAGATATTGTTAATGCTGGCTCTGCACTCTGTGTATTGGTGAGTCAGTAGATATTGTTAATGCTGGCTCTGCACTCTGTGTATTGGTGAGTCAGTAGGTAATGTTAATGCTGGCTCTGCACTCTGTGTATTGGTGAGTCAGTAGGTAATGTTAATGCTGGCTCTGCACTCTGTGTATTGGTGAGTCAGTAGGTAATGTTAATGCTGGCTCTGCACTCTGTGTATTGGTGAGTCAGTAGGTAATGTTAATGCTGGCTCTGCACTCTGTGTATTGGTGAGTCAGTAGGTAATGTTAATGCTGGCTCTGCACTCGTGTATTGGTGAGTCAGTAGGTAATGTTAATGCTGGCTCTGCACTCTGTGTATTGGTGAGTCAGTAGATATTGTTTATGCTGGCTCTGTACTGTGTATTGGTGAGTCAGTAGGTTACGTAATGACGAGTCAGTGAATCAATTTTGGCAATGTGATTGGGTAACTTTTTTTAAATGAGCAAGTCTACTTCTGGTGAAATAAATATTCTCATTCTAGTCATTTAGTTAGTCGTTCCTGTAAGAATCAGTGAGTCATTTTCACTTATGTCATTTAATTTAACTGAAGTCTTTTAACCAAATTTCGAGTTTGCATGCACTAATTCGCAACTTTGAACCTTTTTATAGCGTTAGCTCTAGACAATAAACCCAGTCTTCACAGAGCGACTGTTGACGACTGTAAAGATAGCTGTTGTGCATCAATCGGGATCGACAGTAAAATGCTTCAAATTGTGTTATAATATTGCAAACGTGCAATTTAGAGCAATATTTTCTGTCATTTGTAATTTCTTTTCTTTTTTTATAGCTTGCCTCAGGAGAGCAGGGTAGATGAGGACTTCGACAACGATAGTAATCCGACCCAACCAAATCCCAAATTTTCTTTTGATCAAAATCCAAGTCCGCTGGGATCCCAGAATGACAAATTGCTGCAAGATCACCCCAACGAAACCAACAGTCACGGAGGAGGTTTGGTTGAGCCACAAGAAGGATCCAATGATAGCAGCACCAAGTCATCCTACGAAGAGCTGGAAGAAGACGATGGAACCGACCCGAACTTAACCGAAAATGAGTCAGATGATGACAATGATAGCGGCCCTAACTTATCCGGAGAAGTTTTGGAGGATGACAATGATACAGGCACGAACTCGTCCAAAGAAATGTTTGATGAAGGCTATGAAAATGGCTCTAACTCAACCGACCCGAACTCATCCGACGAAGAGTTGGAAGTAGCCACAGACGCCAACCATTTGCACCGTAAGGGATTTTCGAAATACAAATATGAACTGGACAAAATAAAAAATCCTGCTCTCTTTTCCAGCCCGCAATGGCTTGCTTATTCAAAAGGACCATTTTTTCTGGACCCTTTAGCAGAGATCACAGCCTTACTCGACAGCCATTCTATCTCAATCGTTGCTGAATATCAGTGTCTGTTGTATGGCATTTGTTCTATAAAATGACCCTATTCTAAAGCCTCAACCCATGACAACAACATATAATTACAGTAACGTCAATTTTGCGGGTCCTTTGACCGTATCGACTCGTCAATGTTAGTGCACCTAATTTATTGGTTCCTTACATCCACCTATTAATTTCCTTCACTTTGTTTCACATTAAATGCATACTAATATCAGTTTGAATTATAGGACTGAATGACAATCGAATGCAATGTATGTATAAGCTGTGATTTACGAACCATTGTTGTGTAGTTTGATTCCATTATTCCGCAACCATGTCATAAGTTCGTGAAGCAGGTGCATGGTCATACCTGCCGTATTTAGGACAACGCTTAAGTTNACCGTCCTGAGCGTGTGACATACCAGGGACAAAGACCTGGCGACGTCGAGGACGTTCAACAACCGAACGTACTGAGCGTGTGACATACAAGGGACAAAGACCTGGCGACGTTGAGGACGTTTAACAACCGAACGTACTGAGCGTGTGACATACCAGGGACAAAGACCTGGCGACGTCGAGGACGTTCAACAACCGAACGTACTGAGTGTGTGACATACCAGGGATAAAGACCTGGCGACGTCGAGAACGTTCAACAAGCAAACGCACTGAGCGTGTGACATTCCAAGGACAAAGACCTGGCGACGTCGAGGACGTTCAACAACCGAACGTACTGAGCGTGTGACATACCAGGGACAAAGACCTGGCAACGTCGAGGACGTTTAACAAGCGGACGTACTGAGCGTGTGACATACCAGGGACAAAGACCTGACGACGTCGAGGACGTTTAACAACCGAACGTTCTGAGCGTGTGACATACCAGGGACAAAGACCTGGCGACGTCGAGGACGTTTAATTAACAAGCAAACTGAGCGTGCGACAATTGCGACATACCAGGGACAAAGACCTGGCGACGTCGAGAACGTTTAACAACCGAACGTACTGAGCGTGCGACGTACCAAGGGCAAAGACCTGGCGATGTCGAGGACGTTCAACAAATGAATATACTGAGCGTGCGACGTACCAGGGACAAAGACCTGGCGACGTCGAAACCGTTGACAGCCACACCGGCCGCAGCGCCCCGAGTGCTGAAGGAGATGTTCTTGCCAGGGGCGCTCTCGAGTAGCAGGTGTCCGTCTTGGGTCCTGATGCGTGGCCTGGGACGAGGAAACATTAATGTGGCGCAGGTGTGAAGTATCAAATATTTTCATTTATTTAAGAGTAAACGCGCAGTCTCTTGGCTTTGGCATTTTCAAATTTGGTTTCTTGAATCGAATGAAAGTTTTTAATTTTCGGGCGGAAGTTATTCTGAACCAAAAATGTCTTATTTATAATGATTGAGAATTAGTAAAGTTTTCTATAAAAATAATTACATAGTAAGCACACAATTCATCTTAATTAAAAAGGAAAATATTGTATGTATTGAAGCAGTTAGAAGAAAAACCGCAATCGAAGATAAATGTGGCAAATGGCTGTAGCTGTATTCATCGCTACGTTTCTCAGGTTCATGTCAATAAGTATGGAACGGTCAATTTCGCCATCAACCTTCATTTCCGCAATATAGCTGTAACACATATTCTACGATCTCATGCAAACTGAAGCTAATCTAATTAAAATTCTAAATTGCCCTGATAAAGATAACTACAATTTACTTCAAGCAAAGCCATCTTATTTGTATAATTTGTTGTATTTACGAGGCAGGCTACGTCGGCTTTAATGGGGAAATATTCTTGAATATTTCCTTTCAGAACCGAACTTCATACTCGCATATTGCAAATTGCGAATGACTGGTGATTTTCAATTATTTTGATCATTATACAAACTATCCGATCCTTATTCTTATATACACATCAAAATATAAATTATAAAAATTATCTTCATGAATTCAAATTGTTTATGGGCCCGGAATAAGGCACTACATATTTGCAGTCAAATCATCAGACTAATTAATGATCGATTTGAAATTGAACATTTAAAACATCAATAATACGCGTTTAAAAATTACTTTTTAAGACAACACTTCTAAAGAATTCAGTATCTGCAATGTTACATATGTAGAATGAATTTCTAATTTTATCATCAAATATTATAAAAATATAACTCAGTACTCATTGCAGTGAGTGACAGAGGACGCATTTTCTCGTCGACGAAAACTTGAGGTCACGGACAGAACGGACGGACAGACAGACAGACAGACGGACGGACGGACATGGCGAGCACAATAGTGCATTTTTTTCATGAATGAGAAAATGCGCTAAAAAGGTATTTGTAAATTTTATTTTTAAATTAAAAAAATTAAATTCTTAAAATTATTTATTCTGTCAACTGATTCATGCAATGTCTTCAACTTTATGTAAGTGTGCAAAATTTCGGATAGATTGGAGAGGTAGAAGTGTGTTAAATATCGATTATAAGATTTGTAGCAGACAAACAGACAGACAAACAACAAACAGAGAAGTTAAAAAAAGGTTGTAAAAATAACATCTATCGACTTTAAGTACTTATATCATTAGTCTGCTTATATCGCAAGTTCACAAGGAATCTGGAAATAGTAAATCGCTAGGATTTTATATTCTTGTCGTCTCCTTAGGACTAAGTTGTTCATAACTAGTCCTGTTTATTTCGATATAATGTTAGGTCTTGTTTAGGTTTTATGTCTGTCTTTGAATTTTGACTTTTAAAGTGATTTTATTCATTTTTAGTTTAGTCGAACTGATGATGGAGCTGGACTTCGAAACGTTTTCAATATCGATATGGTGAATTTTCTTGGCGTTTTCTTTGCTTTTAAATTCCTTATCGACTTTAATTTCTCAAAGATAACTTGCAATGAAAAAGAATTTTCTAATCCATACAAAACTTGCAAAATTATTTTCTCAATATGAGCGTATAAAATTATGCGACTATACGACACCAGGCTGCTAATGGTCGCCACACAAGGAGACTCTTAATTAATTCTGACTGATGAACCGTCGCTACCAGGCAGGTCTGTCGCTCACTTGTTATACACAAATGTCTTTCTGGTTCTGAAAATTGACATTGTCCGCTGAATCTCTCCTAAAGAGAATTCAACGTAAGAAACTCCTCGATTAAGCATGGTTATAACAAAAATATAGCAAATATATGGTATGTCGAAAGTATTTTACGTGATTTGGGACTCGTGATATTTGATCTGATTAGCTGCGCGTGTACGGAAAAAACCTGAAATGTTATTATGAAATGCACTTCACGGAAACAAGCTGCACAAGAACTGAAATGAAATAATTATGTCTGACCTGTCATCGAGTATGGCGACGGCGTGCGTGACGATGATGAGGAGCAAGACGAGTCTTGTTCTGCCCTCCGACACGAAGTGACGAACAAGTGACGTCATTGGACGAATCTTATGGTCACTGCATGCCACAAACTGCAACACACTTTTGGCTTCGCGTCTACGCCGCAATTCGACCTCTGAATTGTTCTTATTCTTCACACCCGAAACATAAAATCTTGTGAACGAGTTCCCTCGAACGTCCTCGTATGCGATTCTTGAGCGTCGGAATTTTATACGTCAACAATAACAGACATAAAGTTTTCCATCAAAATTACACAACAGTTAAAATCAATTATTATTATTACGATTGGACTAAATGAAGTTACCCTATATTAAGCACATATATTATATTGTCTATTTACTTACTATTTACTACTCCACACAACTCTTGACAACAAAGATTACAACCAAGATCACAGGTAATTTATTTTTGATTAATTTTGTACGATAGTCATTGGTAGTTTTGTACGGCGCGCGAGAACGGCTACAGACACAACCTCATCAACATCCTATAAATGAAGCAAGTTTATATAACTGATTATATAACTGATATCCTTGCGTTGAAGAGAGCAAAGTCCGACTTGGTGGCTGCTGCACATAGAACTGTTCACCGAACACGCGCTCTCGTTGTCCAGCGAGTAACGCGATCCACGCCGCGCCATCAGGGGGAGGAACGAGCGTGCCAGCCTACGCCCCCACACGGCCGCTGCTGGTTATGCAGACCTGGCGGTGGTACTGGGACTGGGACTGAGCCATCATGATGGTACAGACGCTTGGTACTGGGACTGGTACTGAGCCATCATGATGGTACAGACACTTGGTACTGGGACTGGGCCCTCATGATGGAACTGACACTTGGTACTGGGACTGGGCCCTCATGATGGCACAGGCGCTTGGTACTGGGACTGGGCCCTCATGATGGCACAGGCGCTTGGTACTGGGACTGGGACTGGTACTGGGCCCTCATGATGGAACTGGCACTTGGTACTGGGACTGGGCCCTCATGATGGCACAGACGCTTGGTACTGGCCTCATGATGGCACAGGCGCTTGGTACTGGGACTAGGCCCTCATGATGGCACAGGCACTTGGTACTGGGACTAGGCCCTCATGATGACACAGGCACTTGACATTGGTGATAGTCCTGGCACTCAAACTTCATGGTAGAGGAGGGACTTGGCAATGAAGATAGTGCGATGATTTTACACAATCGAAAGGTTGCTAATGAAATTAGTGTTCAAGAAACCTTTCATTTTTAATTACATTTTAAAAGCTTCAGAGGCTTAACTGATGCTTAAATGCATCAATAACGCTTCAAATGCTTCAATTGAGCTACGAATGCCTCGATAAAGCTTCAAATGCTTCAATAAAGCTTCAAATGCTGCAATAACGCTTAAATTATTCAGCAAATTTTCAAATGCTTCAATAAAACTTCATATGCTTCAAAAAAGCTTCAAATGGTTCAGTTAAGCTTCGAATGCTTCAATAAAGATTTAAATGTTTCAATGAGGCTTCAAATGCTCTAATAAAGTTTCAAATGCTTCAATAAAGCTTTAAATGTTTCAAATGTTTCAATAAAGCTTTAAATGTTTCAATAAGGCTTCAAATTCTTCAATAAAGCCAAAAATGCTTAAATAAAGCTTAAAATGCTCCAATAAAGCTTCATATGCTCCAATAAAGCTGCAAATGCTTCAATGAAGCTTTAAATGTTCCAATAAACCTGCAAATGCTCCAATGAAGCTTCAAATTTTTCGATAAAGCTTCAAATGCTTCAATAAAGCTCCAAATGCTTCAATAAAGCTTAAAATGTTCCAATGAAGTTTTAAATGCTTTAATAAAGCTTCAAATGCTCCAATGAAGCTGCATATGCTTCATTGAAGCTTCAAATGCTTCAATAAAGCTCCAAATGCTTCAATAAAGCTCCAAATGCTTCAATAAAGCTTCAAATGCTTCAATAAAGCTCCAAATGCTTCAATAAAGCTCCAAATGCTTCAATAAAGCTCCAAATGCTTCAATAAAGCTCCAAATGCTTCAATAAAGCTCCAAATGCTTCAATAATTCTTCAGATGCTCTAATAAAGCTTCATATGCTCCGTTAAAACTTCAAATCTTTCAATGAAGCTTCAAACGCTGCAATAAAGCACCAAATGCTGAAATGAAGCTTCAGATACTTCAATAAAGCTTAAAATGCTTCAATAAAGGTTAAAATGCTTCAATAAAGCTTAAAATGCTTCAAAGAACTTCAAATGCTGCAGTGAAGCTTTAAATGCTTCAATGCGGCTTCAAATGCTTCATTTCTCACAAAGAGTCTATACTATGGCCGCTCGGTTATTAAAAGGGAAATCCAGCACAGCCTCCCCCTCCTTTCGTTCTAATATGTCCCTATTGTGGAGGTCCCACTCTCAAAGTTGGGAGCCAGCCCGGTTATCATCTTCCAAGTGTACAGTATGATATACCTCTCACATTCTCCTCTCCAGTGAGCGCAGTTCCAGTTGTTTCAACCTACCCCAGTAGCTCAGCTCCCTCATACCACTGATACTGGAATTCAAGGTCCACTGGACTGACTCCACTTTCCCCACCGCACCCGCCATGAACGGCACCCAATGCTGGCAGCAGTACCCAAGACTTGGAAGCACGAGGGCTCTGAATTAAGAGTGTGACCATTGGCACTGAATTTCTCGTTCGAAATGTCTGCTAGATCCATCATATCCGTTATCTACCTCGCGAAACTATTTCCTCGATGTGGTCATGAAACGTGGCTTCGGTATTCATCAAACTTCGAGATGTCGAACAAGTTTCTTATTCTACTACTACTCACATCGCTACTGAGCATCGGATGGCACATAAAATGTTGTGTGCCATCCGATGCTCAGTAGCGATGTGGCATCCCTGTACGTGTCTGTGCCGAGTCTATATCTCATTACTTCGAACTTGGTGCCATTGCATTGCACATTATTCAACAGGGCTTAATTAATCGTAGATTGTCGACGAGTCATCCTGTAACCTCTCGCTTTACAGGTCATCAGTGATCCTCATCATTACCCTTGTATTGTCCGCAAATGACGATGTAGATGCATGGGTCCGCTCCGAGTCGATGTCGGCGATGTGGATGAGGAAAATCGTTCCAAGCACCGAGCCCTGTGGCACTCCGCTCTTCACCATCGCTTCTCTGGATTTCGAATTTCAATGGCGACAGCTTGTACTCGGAAGTTGTTGATCCACCCTAACAGGCTTCCTCCTGCCCCCAATAACCTCAGCTTTTTGAATAGCACCCATAGTCAACTATGTCAAAAGCTTTTGCAACGTCCAGGCATGCTACGTCAACACCAGCTCCCTCTTCCAGTTGGGCTACAATTAAGGGGGTGATGGAGTTACAATAACTGCGACAAACAGGAATGATTTCGCCGAAAACCAGTTCAGGCGGCGGCTGAACGGCCGGCGGCTTCCATATACTGGACAAGCCTCCTGGCCGCTACCTTCTCAAAAGCCATTATCATCTGCAAGGTCAAGGTCACAGGTCCATCACAACAAACGCCTGGCCTTCCATCACAACAAACGCCTTGCTTTACTTTGGTGTCAGTCATCTGATCAGTCAGCTGATGTTTCAGTCATGTTACTGATTGGCACCTTCAACGATAACAAGCCATCACGTTCCAAGTAGTGATGTGAAGCTAGGTTATGAGACACCTAATCTGTGTAAAGAGATTTCTATAGCGCGCAGCAATTAATTTAACGCGTAGTTGCGTAACAAGCAGCAACTTATTGTTGTATAACGTTATACGCAGCGATATAATGCGCAGTCGCGTAACACGCAGCAATATAACGCACTATTACGTAACACTGACGTCGTTGTTCCAGAGATTTTCAAATCAGCTCAAATTACATCTCTATTGAAAAATCTCAGCAATTTGTATATTCCATTGCGTTAGACGTGGGAACTCTTCTTCTGCGCCATCGTTGGTCACTTGCGACGTACCACAGGGATCAGTCATCAGTCCGATCCTCTTCTGTTATATACTGTCGACGTGATGCACATAATTGATTCACGTAGTTTAAATCCGCACATCTTCGTTAAGTGATTGAAAACTACCCAATCAAAGTGCTCCCGAAGTTCGTTTGAACCAGACGCCACGATAACTGCTTCTTAGCATAACAATGAGCTACATAACGCGCAGTCGCTTAACACGCAGTCATACAACACGCAGTCACGCAACACGCTGTCTCGTAACACGCAGTCATGTAAACGTAGACACGCAACACGCAGTCTCGTAACACGCAGTCATACAACATACAGTCCACGCAACAAGCTGTCTCGTAACACGCAGTCTTGTAAACGTAGACACGTAACACGCAGTCTCGTAACACGCAGTCATGTAAACGTAGACACGCAACACGCAGTCACGTAACTGTAGCTCGCGTCTGGCTAAGCTCAGCAGCCCTTCAGCGACGGCAGCTCCCGCGCGCCACGCACGAATGGCGTAGAGAATTTCAGGACGAACGGGCCGTTCTCGTAAAATATCTCGTGTCTAAAATTAATTTTAGATGTTGAGAATTAAGTTAAAATGTCCAGAACTAATATCGTTCAATATTCGCTCTCTATGGTTGAGGCTACGCTGCCACCGACGTCGGCCTGGAGGGAAATAAAGAACAAGTATTCTCTCATTTCTCTTAAAACGTAAACAAATAAAGAGCAAGTTTTCTCTCATTTCTCTTAAAACGTGAACAAATAAAGAGCAAGTCTAATCTCATTTCTCTTAAAACGTAAACAAATAAAGAGCCAGTCTTCTCTCATTTCTCTTAAAACGTAAACAAATAAAGAGCCAGTCTTCTCTCATTTCTCTTAAAACGTAAACAAATAAAGAGCAAGTCTTCTCTCATTTCTCTTAAAACGTAAACAAATAGAGCAAGTCTTCTCTCATATCTCTTAAAGCGTAAACAAATAAAGAGCAAGTCTTCTCTCATTTCTCTTAAAACGTAAACAAATAAAGCGCAAGTCTTCTCTCATTTCTCTTAATACGGAAACAAGTAAAAAGCAAGTCTTCTCTCATTTCTCTTTAAACGTAAACAAATTACAATTGGGAGCAGTGAGAGCACCAAACTGTTCTTAAATGGTTGTCCCCTTTAATCTACAAACTATAGAGAGCGCAGGTAACTTTACTAACTAATAATGGCAACTTTATTATCTTTACTCACTTACACAGCAACATAGTTACCTTTAGTTACTAACAACGACCAAACTATTAATTCAATAAGTTAAAGCAACAACACTGTCATTCTGATAAAATATCTGCAACAACACTTTATTCCTTTTTAACAGCAGCAGCAATGTTTTATTTGCTAACAACATTAACACAGTATTCTCGCTAACTGAACAGCGCGTTATCTGTGCCCAGAAATATACAGACAACATCTGTATTTGGTAATTAAATGTCTTGCTTGTCTGTAGAGCTGATGTACTAAACATCATTAACTAAATATTCATGAAGTAATGACAATAATCATTGATGGAAGACATTCCATTTGGCGTAACATATATAGTGATATCACGGGCTTATTACCCGAAACGAAGCGTTCACTACGACCCCTAAGGTGCTATTAATAATATTATTGTCCATTGAGAATCATATTTTCTCATAGAAATACTTTTACGCTCACAAAAAGGCGCAAGTCTAATTTTGCTACACATTACGGCAACATTCTAAGACGTAATTCTAAAGTTTTCCTTCATCATAGGGAGAAAATAGGTAGTAAGTTTTTATGCACATAATCTGCTAATAATTATCTTATTATCAAACAATTGTATCACATATCGCTCATAATACTGATAAAAAGTTCCTTGACTAATATTCATTACCTTGAAACATTACCCCAGAAAACACTGCAGTTGATTGCAGACGCAGTGACCAAATTTCGAGCCATAAATTTCGGAAATTTAAATGAAGGTTCGCCAGTATCTCTCCTTAGAGCTCAAATTAAGTAAATCTTATTTCTGAAAAATATTAGAGTTACTTCAGTGAGGGTTCATAATGGCAGCTGATGGCACACAATAATCCTTTCACTGGCGGGTCGTCACCAGAATGCTAATATGCAGAAAATTTAGCTTCAAAATTTATTTATTTCATGTGCCCATTTTCCTCTACATTCTACTTTGCATGGTAATTTCGATTTTTTAGATCAATTTCGATTTGCAGTTACCCGATAAAAATAACACCCTTATAATTTCATTGAAAATGAAGCAATTAACCAGCCCGAATTCGCTACAGGCTCATCACCATCAATCTTGCTGAAGCAACAAGCCATTGGTCGACAAGCTCGAATATCTAAAGCTTGAACTAGTCTCAATTTCTGTTTCCAGAATAGCACTGAAGCCGTTCTTGCGGTGAATCTATCAACTCACGCACTTCTGTCATTGCAGTGAAGTGGAGAACCGGTGCCACCTCTTGCTCTTTTCCACACTATCCCAGTGGCACTGCAGCAGCAGCTGCAGCGTAGCAGTCAACTCCAGCAATTTAAGTCTGCAGTGTAGCAGTCAACTCCAGCACTTTAAGTCTTGCACTGGTGGTCGTCAACTCCAGCACTTCAAGTCTTGCATTGTGGCAGTCAACTCCAGCACTTCAAGTCTTGCATTGTGGCAGTCAACTCCAGCACCTCAAGTCTTGCATTGTGGCAGTCAACTCCAGCACTTCAAGTCTTGCATTGTGGCAGTCAACTCCAGCACTTCAAGTCTTGGCAGCAAGGCAGTTAGCGTCAAGCAGGAAGTCGCTGCAGGGATTCATCATTCCTGGCGCTCGGTTTGATTTGACTGTAGCTCCACGAACCGTTCGACAGCAGCGACAGATGAACATGTACAGCTGGTGGATGTAGGGCTCTCGAGGCTGGCTGTAGCCTTGCTTCAGTTTGTTAATTGAGATCTGCAAAGTAGATTACGGAAAGGTTCATGTATCGCTTAGCCAAGTGCACAAAGGTTTCGAGAAGAATGTTGATTTTTTTAAATCTACAAATTATAGAGCAAATAACGGAGTTGCCTGGTGTAGCCTCAATAACAAATAACGGTGTTGTCTCAAAGCAGATCAAGTAGTATGTAAGGTAAGGATGGCACGCGGCGTTACCTGGAGATCAACGCCGAGCCCAATAAAAATTAAGTTAATGATGGCCAAGAGGGCGATGATGATGTCAAGGAAGCCATCCGAGTCCTGAAGCTGATCCTTAAGGTGGTCAGGACACGACTCGTCAGGGTAGAGCTTCTGTGGCGGCAATAGTTTGTATCTTTATTCTCCTACATGAATGTACAATTAATTTTATATCTTAAATTATCTTTCACAAATTATTCATTCGTATCAAGTGGAGCGATATAAACAATAATCAATACTAACTAAAATAAAATCAGGAAAGAGATAAGGGATTTCAAATCAGGAATTTATTGAACAACATCTCCCCCCAGGAGCTGAATATCTGTATGATGAATAATGATTATCGTGCCGCCGCTTTGGCCACCAGAGTATCCTAATGAATTATACACTAGATTCGCTGTGGCGGTTTTGTAATCAAATGAAAAACCTAAATGAAAAGCGAATTTCAAATCAGAGATATGTCTCTAATATATCTCTGATTTGAATATATATCATATAATATATCTCTGATTACCTGTAATATATATATCATTATGTTTATTCACAATGAATGAGATTTAACAGGAGAGAGTTGAACAGAATCTCAATTAATTATATTATTGCAGCTCAATAATTTTAAGGAAGCCGTGCCCTGTGTCGGCCTCGGGTCCCACCGGCAGCGGTCCGTCCTCGCACTCAACGCGCGTGAAGTCTGCGACGAACTGAAATACGTTGAGCTTGCCATCAATCTTCCTCAGCTCCGTCTGCTCACAACGGCAATTACATCAGATTTTTGTACATGTGCATGTCTGCGCTAATTATGGGAATGATATCAGGCAAAAAAAATAATAATGCGCCGTAAAATAACTGCGAATCAAACCTTGTCCATCAGGTGAAACAATTATTACTAGATTACTAACTACTATTAACTATTACTATTACTATTAACTAGATTGCTAGAACAACTTCATATATTTTAAGTGTTTGCGCTTAGAAACAGCGAATCAATTTCGAATGAAATCGAACTTTTTCATTACCTTTTTAATTACATTCCTTAGTATTATATCTTTTGATGGCCGTCATTCTTCTGTAATAGTGTGACTAACAATAGACAATTAGTTATCAACACCAATGCTTACATCAATGATGTAGAATTGACAGCCACAGATGAGCGGGTTGCCCTTGACGCTGATTTTGAGATCTCGGCTCCGGCTCAGGTAGCTGTTGAACGCATCGCCTAAGAGCTGTGCAGGAGACAACAGGGTGAGGCTGATGTGGGGGTATGGGAAGATGTGATGATGTGATGCTTTGTCTGGTAGAGGTTGAGGCTGATATGGGGATGGGGGAAGATGGGATGATGTGATGCTTTGTCTGGTGGAGGGTGAGGCTGGGATGTGGGGTCCTGGTGGGGATAGGTTAAGATGGGATGATGTGATACTTTGTCTGGTGGAGGGTGAGGCTGGGATGTGGGGTCCTGGTGGGGATAGGTTAAGATGGGATGATGTGATACTTTGTCTGGTAGAGGGTGAGGCTGGGATGTGGGGATGGGGGAAGATGGGATGATGTGATGCTTTGTCTGGTAGAGGGTGAGGCTGGGGTGTGGGGATGGGGGAAGATGGGATGCTTTGTCTGGTATAGGGTTAGGCTGGGATGTGGGGATGGGGGAAGATGGGATGATGTGATGCTTTGTCTGGTGGAGGGTGAGGCTGGGATGTGGGGTTACGTGAACTAATTACTGGTCTGAAAGTATGCATAATTTTTTCTGGGACTGGAGGCTAGTTTGTAATGAGAGCTGCTTCAAATTGAAGACTGTTTTTGTCATCAAATTCTACCATCTTGCCACCAAGCAAAATAGTAGATAGCATTTAGCGTATTTTAACATCCTGCAACCAAGCAAAGTGGTAGATAGCATGTAGAAAATTCCACCATCCTGCCACCAAGCAAAATAGTAGATAGCATGTAGCGTATTTTAACATCCTGCCACCAAGCAAAGTGGTATATAGCACGTAGCGTATTCTACCATCCTGCCACCAAGCAAAATAGTAGATAGCATGTAGCGTATTTTAACATCCTGCAACCAAGCAAAGTGGTAGATAAGATAGCATGTAGAAAATTCTACCATCCTGCCACCAAGCAAAATAGTAGATAGCATGTAGCGTATTTTAACATCCTGCCACCAAGCAAAGTGGTAGATAGCACGTAGCGTATTCTACCATCCTGCCACCAAGCAAATTAGTAGATAGCATGTAGCGTATTCTACAATCCTGCCACCAAGCAAATTTGTAGATAGCATGTAGTAAATTCTACCGTCCTGCCACCTAGCAAATTAGTAGATAGAATGTAGCGTATTCTACCATCATGCCACCAGGCAAAATAGTAGATAGCATGTAGCGTATTCTACAATCCTGCCACCAAGCAGAATAGTAGATAGCATGTAGCGTATTCTACCATCATGCCACCAAGCAAAATAGTAGATAGCATGTAGCGTATTCTACCATCCTGCCCCCAAGCAAAATAGTAGATAGCATGTAGCAAATTCTACCATCCTGACACCAAGCAAATTGGTGGATAGCATGTAGAAAATTCTACCATCCTGCCACCAAGCAAAATAGTAGATAGCATGTAGCAAATTCTACCGTCCTGCCACCTAGCAAATTAGTAGATAGAATGTTGCGTATTCTACCATCATGCCACCAAGCAGAATAGTAGATAGCATGTAGCGTATTCTACAATCCTGCCACCAAGCAGAATAGTAGATAGCATGTAGCGTATTCTACAATCCTGCCACCAAGCAAAATAGTAGATAGCATATAGCAAATTCAAACAAAGACTGCAGACAACGAAGAGATATAAAATGATTCCCTCATCTGTCCAAGACGAGGCTCCATAATTAAGTTTCTTCAGGTGGCTGACTTTCATTACAATTAATTTATCATAGATATCCATGGCTAAGGTTTATTTCAAAAATTAAATACTATTAAACAGTTCACTCACGAGCCAGTAAGAACTAAAACGTATTAATTAACTACGGTGAATAAATTTAGCAAGTATGCAGGATTTAATTAGTTAAATATTAAAGTATGAAATCTTTGATCGTTTTTAACAGCTTCGATTTTTTGTGAAGAGCCTTCGCATTCACCCAAACATAATTATAATAAGAGAAGCGACCCAATCAGAATTATAATAAGAGAAGGTACCCAAACAGAATTATAATAAGAGAAGCCACACAAACAGAATTATAACAAGAGAAGCCACCCAAAGAAAACTATTCAAAAGCAAAGTAACAGCAATCAAGTTAATGCCAATAACAATATAGTTTCTGACATGAATAAAATGGTAACGGTTTGATACAAATAATGACGTGAACGTTTGCAATGTCGGAATCAACTGCGCGTTTACTGTATTGCTTGGGAGCCATCGTGAACATCGTGGCAGCAATTTAAACACTGCATGGCAGAGTGGCACAGTGGTTAAAGTTCAGAGTACTAAGATTGGTGCAGAGAGGGGCGGGCTCGATCACAGCTCTGTGCGCCAGTTTCTGGTCAGAATCGGCAAGGAGGCCGGGCGGTTAAGCAAAGAAAATTTGAAGCAGTGAGTTGCGAATGTGAGTTCGCAAAACGAGTTCAAGACCGCAACATGCCGTGGATGTTCTGCAATGTTAAGAATCGGCGACAGGCCTACGGCCTAATAAACGCTGAAACTGATATATTAAATTATATTATCGTGTCGTCAAATAATCTTAGAACTATGCAAAGAGGCCAAAACTTGAAATAATTGCTAGAAGTAGTACGGGAGATGCTGACATGTTCGATGGAGTTGTTGTCGAGGGAGATGTACTTGATGTTGGACTTGTGCTGAGGCTGGATCTCTGGCACGGAAGTCAGTTTGTTGCCGTTCAGGTTAATAATCTTCAGGTAAGGCATGTCGGCGGCTTGTTTCATCAGAGTCTCTCCAGTCACCAGCTGCAACAAATGTTCGCATGATGAAAATAAATTATGATGAGCGATTTTATTGACCTAGTACGTTTGTATTGTCTATTTATAACCAAATTACTGTTTTAGTTTCCATTAAATGCTTTATTTTACATTAAATGCTTTTAGATTTTACGTCAGTACAATATCTGGAATGAGTGAATTCGGCTATTCATTCTTCTTACTTAAGTACGCTTCTTTTTTGCATTTTTTCTCTATCAATAATAATTAATGTATTTTCAACTACATGTACGTGCAACAACTTGTAGCTTCTTTTGAAATCAAATTTGATATATAATTGGACCTGGTTGCCCTCGAAAGAGAGGATATCCGCGTTGCGGGGCAAGTTGCGAGGGATGTCGTCGTCGGTGAGGTTGCGTTTCGAGCAGTCGACCGTGGACTGGATGACCAGAGTCTGCTTGCGCATACCGAGGTAGGACGGACACACCGCTTCTCCATCCTGAACAAATGTAAAGGAGAGCTCGAGGTATAGTTAGGAGACAGGTACCGAGGTAGGACGGACACACCGCTACTCCATCCTGAACAAATGTAAAAAAGAGCTACAGGTATAGTTAGGAGACAGGTACCGATGTGGGACGGACACACCGCTCCTCCATCCTGAACAAATGTAAAGAAGATCATCTTAGAATATTTCAAGTTCAAAGCGTATGAGCTGCGTCTGTATGGGATCTCTGAAAAAGTCGAGCGCATCTCTGCATTACAAACACAAAGACTGCGAGTCTAGATCACTTTTATTCCTAGGTACTTGGCGACAAGGAGAATACTCAGTTGGGTATATGAATTTGGTGCTTCTTTTCACTTGAAGAATTTTGAACTATATTAGCTCCTTCCCACACTATTGTTCTGTATTTCTCGGTGTTAATGTTGTTCAACTTAAAAAGGCTTCTTTGTTTGACCTCAAGTCCAAGAAGAGATGAAGGATACTAATTTTGAGGGGCTACTTTCATCAAAGGTGAGTATATCGAATTGCACACTCATGTCTTTCGAATTTATTCGTTTCATACGTTTTTTAAATTTTTGTTAGTTTTAGGGGTTGTAATTCATGCTTTATGCTCAGATAAATTTTTTTCTCATACTACGAGGCCCTATCAAAAGCCAATAAATTAGAAATTAACGAAGAAAACTATGTGTGAATTTCAATGCAGCGTACCCGAGCTATCAAGAATAACTAGAGCGTATTTGTGCCCCAGACCAAAAGTTTATTCATGTAAAGTTAAGAGATGCGCATCAATGTAGGACGCATCCTTACTCTCCATCCTGAACAAATGTAAAGAAGTATAGTTAGGAGACAGGTACCGAGTAGGACGGACACACCGCTACTCCATCCTGAACAAATGTAAAGAAGAGCTCGGGTATACTTAGGAGATGCGAACCGAGGTAGGACGGACACACCGCTACTCCTTCCTGAACAAATGTAAAGAAGTATAGTTAGGAGACAGGTACCGAGGTAGGACGGACACACCGCTACTCCATCCTGAACAAATGTAAAGAAGAGCTCGGGGTATAGTTAGAAGATGCGTCCCGAGTTAGGACGGACACACCGCTCCTCCTTCCTGAACAAATGTAAAGAAAAGCTCGAGGTATAGTTAGGAGATGGGTACCGAGGTAAGACGGACACACCGTTCCTCCATCCTGAACAAATGTAGAGAAGAGCACTAGGTATAGTTAGGAGATGGGTACCGAGGTAGGACGGACACACCGCTACTCCTTCCTGAACAAATGTAAAGAAGAGCTCGGGGTATAGTTAGGAGATGGGTACCGAGGTAGGACGGGCACACCGCTTCTCCATCCTGAACAAAGGTAAAGAAGAGCTCGAGGTATAGTTAGGAGACAGGTACCGATGTGGGACGGACACACCGCTTCTCCATCCTGAACAAATGTAAAGAAGAGCAACAGGTATAGTTAGGAGACAGGTACGGCGGCGGGACGGAGGTATGACTAGGTATTAGTTGCATACCAGAGACTAGGTATGAGTTATTTTTGAGTTACAAAAATATTTTGCTTCATTTTTAAATTATTAATAAATTATTAAAGTAACTGAGTATTAAAGTAACTGCTTGAGCATAATTTCGAATGCAGTAAAATTTATCGCAATAGAAATATTCATTTACCAAGTATCGGCATTTTTACACTTGACAGTTAGTTCTTACTAACCACAAACAACTTTTTTCTACCTGATCTTGGGGCGCTGAAGTTGAATTTCATGTCTGTTTTTGATCATCTTTTCCAGCCTTTTGAGCGCATTTACTCATTTACGAAAAAAGGCGCTATCATGCTCGCCATGTCCGTCCGTCCGTCTGTCTGTCCGTCTGTCTGTCCGTCTGTCTGTCTGTCTGTCTGTCTGTCTGTCCGTCTGTCTGTCCATCTGTCTGTCCTTCCGTGACTTCACGTTTTCGTCGACGAGAAAATGCGCTCTTTGTCACTCACTGCATTGAGTACTGAGTTACATTTTTCCTATAAACGGTCTGTCAGCTTTGTGTGTAACTCACAGACCACGGCAAAGGTATCGGAAGAGTAACGAGTAACGCTTCTCTCCTCAGGGAAGATTAAAGAGTAACACTCCTCTCTTCAAGGATGAGTAATGAATATCGCTCCTCTCCTTAGTGAAGAGTATTGAGTAACGCTCCATTACTCAACGAAAGGGTAATGAGTAGCACTCCCCTCCTCAGACCAGAGTAATGAGTAACGCCCGCGCCCTTCGTTCATCTAGAACAAATATGCTAATTTTCTCGTCGCTCTCTTTCGTCCATCTTAACATAACAATGTGGAGATTATCTTAGAATATTTCAAGTTCAAAGCATACGAGTTGTGTCTGTATGGAATCATTGAAGCATCTGGGCTGCATCCCTGCATTACAAACACAAAGACTGAGAGTCTAGATCACTTTTGTTCCTGGATACTTGGCGGCAAGAGGAATCTTCAGTTGGGTGTGAATTTGGTGCTTCTTTTCAGAATTTTTACTTATAGATTTTTATATTTTATGTTTATATATATTTTTATATAGATTATAGATTATATTAAGATTTGAAATGCCTAGCTCCTTATCGAACCCGGTGGAAGTCTAGTAGCTTCTTCAAACTATCGCCAGTCATGAAAAGATCCGGTCAAATGATACGAGTTTAGATCTATGAACAAGGCACGAAAAGGAAAGAATCGGCGACAGGCCACATCAGGCCTACGCTTCAGCGCCGACATCACTATGTTATGTTATGTTATGTTATAGTAGACCATTCCCACACTCTTGTACTGTGTTTTCCGGCCTTATTGTTGCTAAACTTAAAAAGGCTCCTTTGTTGGAACTCAGGTCCGAAAAGAGACGAAGGATTCTAATGTTGAGGAGCTACTTTCATTAAAGGAGAGTATGTCGAATTGTACAATCGTGTCTTTCAAATATATTCGTTTCATGCGTTTTTTACATTTTATCAATTTCAGGGGTTGTAATTCTTGATTTATGCACGTATAATTTTTGTTTCTCATACCACGAAGCCATATAAAAGCCAGTAAACCAGAAATTACCGAGGAGAACTAGGAGTGAATTTTAATTGAACGCACCTGAGCTATCTAAATACCTAGAGCGCATTTGTACCTCAGACCAAAAGTTTATTCATGTGAAGTTAAGAGATGCGCATCAATGTAGGACGCATCCTTACCATATACATATTCGTGTATCTTTAGGATGCGTGTCCGAACTATATATCATCCTAACTATATATATTCATGTATAGTTAGGATGCGAATCCTAACTATACATCATCCTAACTATACATATTCATGTATAACTAACTATACATATTCATGTATAGATAGGATGCGTATGTAAAGTTGCAAGCCTATGAAATGTTTGCTTGCCCGGGCTGACCTCGTAAGAGACAGTATCCGTGCTACTGGGCAGGTTTTGTTTCGTGCTGTCCACGGTCACGTTGACGAGCGCTTGCATGTAGGTACACTGACACGGCGCACACGCAGTCTCTCCTTCCTGTACAAATGCAACATGGATAGTATAGTTATAGATAGTTTGTTGAGTAGAATAAATCAGTCTCAATGAGCGTTGATACTGTGCTCATGGAATACCGACAATTATCTCTGTAATCGAGAAATAGCGAGTGCAGATAGCTTTAACTCGGCCACAATGGCCATTAAACATTTGCGATATATGTACATGCGACACAAAATTTGCTCAACGCATAGAACCAATAAAATCTGTTATTACAATGAAACTGGCGTCTCTAATTAATATTTAGAAAGAATTGTTTAAATATAGTTGTCAATACATCATCTCATCGTGTTAGAAAAAAATTTCTATCATTTCAGTGCTAGGATCGACACCCCCCAAAAAATATTGACTGATATGTCCGAAGCCAACGGATGATCGATGCTAATAATTTCGATCCCATGCTTTACTTCAGCGATTCAAATGATGGAAATTATCTATAATTCCATAGCACACTAAATTGGTCCTCATAAAGGCTTCCCTTAGAATTATTTCTTAGTTTCTAGGTCACAAAACTTCCTTCCCGCCCTATAAAAGGTCAATGGCACCGTAAGTGGAGGAGAAAATATCGTTGCCCTATGAATCTTATTAATGGCAAGTGCCCAAATTAACCGCAAATGTATTTAATTTTATAAGAGCATAAAATGTACTCACCATGCACGCCTTCTGATAGTTGAGTCCCGTGTTGAAGTGGTTGTCCGTATTACTGCAGGCCTCCGTCACGTTCTTGCAGGTTAGAGTTGTCTGATTGATGACTCGGTGATGCGAGTCGGGCCACTGTAGCAACCAGTCCCAGTCGTCCCACGAGCAGTCCCAGTCTGGGCCTGGGAAGCGAGCGCGATTTGAGCGACAATTGACAACTGCAACGATTTATGTAGTTTAAAACAATACGAAAGAGTACAGATGAATAAATTACTTGAAATCAAGTTCTGAAAAATATCAAGTCAATGGCTAACGGTCGTCGACAATATAAAAATTGAAATTGATATCTCTGGTCTATAAGTATTCCAGATATTGAGTCCAGAACAGTATTCCAGATATTGAGGAGCGCCCAGTCGGCTCGAAGTTAACATGTTTTGAAATACACGAAGAAGAGGTTCTCAAGCGCCTGGTAGCTCAAAATCCCAACAAGTCATGTGGACCAGACGGCTTCCATCCCAGATTGCTCAAAGAATTAGCATCCGTTCTGGCCGGCCCATTGACAGTATTCTTTCAAAAAACCTTGAACGAAGGA